TTAGTTCATAACAATTGAGAAAGAGAGTATGGATATCGATTTTAAGTGCATTAAAAGCTTCAAACCTTGGTTGTACAAGGTTGTTGGGTTGTACAAGGTTGTTGGGAGTATTCATGGCAATGGCAATGTTGTAAATACTTGAAGATGATGAGGTTGAGAGAGTAAAAATGTCATTTTCGAAAAAAAATTCAAAAAACATTTAAATGGCATTTTCGTAAATAAAATGAAGATGTGGGGTGAATAGGACAAAAACAAGATGAGTCTAAAGAAGAGGTTAGTTTTGTGTTTGACTTGGAGTTTTGAGTCAAATTTGCAAAAAGCCCTTGTTTTTTATTACAATCTACAAAGAAACTGCAATAATTGAAAGAGAATGAAAGAAATTGACTAAATGATAAGTTGATGCCACTTTCAATAAGAAGATTTCTAGTACGATGTTGGAATGTTCCTGCATGAATTATAATGTCCTAGACGCTACTAGCTTTCTTTTGTGGACGATGGACTTCTTTTCTCAGCTATAAATTACTTAAGTGATGTGTTGCATGCTACTCATGAGACACAACTTAACCATGATTGGTATTTAGGATGGATCCCTCTTCCAAGTGTGATTGATTTGTGCTAAACAGAGAAACAATAGAGAATATATAAGAAATTAGCTTAAAGTTCTTTGATTAATGATTAATCTTAAAACGTAGCTGGTACACAGCTTAACCAAAAAAAGCACGTTGATCCCTTAGGAAAACCCAGGACCTATACTAGAATGGTCTAGGAAATCAAATTCCTGATATGAATTGGTTTACTTGGTCTGATTTTATCATACCTGTTTTAATTTTACATGACTTAATATTACAGATTATAAAAAAAATCAAATAAATAATTTGGTTTTCTCCTATTCCGCTATATTCAATTGAGAATTTTAGGTCATCTATACTATTAATCTATACTATTAAAGCTGAAGTACAAAAATAAAGTGTTTGGAAACATAAATAAGAAAATTTTAAAAGTTTGATTGGAAACATGGATAGCATACCATTATTATTGTTTTTGGATTTTCTATCATTGATATTACTTTATTTCTACAAATTATTTATACATATATGTATTCATGTTTTAAATGTATTTAGAATAAATCAAGAATAATATATATTTTATTTATATAATTTATATTGACTATTCTTATAAGTTTTTAACAGTGATATACTAGCCTTCCAATTCTTCATTAAAAAATTAAATTAAAAATTTGACTAAATTATTTAGTGTATATAACTTTACACCAAATTTAGTCAAAAAACTTTATAAACTATTACTAAAATGTTTACGGGTCACAACATTTTACGACGCCCCTGTTACACAATACAATAATGAAATACAATATTTAAACAATATACTATTACTTAGTAAAATTGGAACCATTAAATTGTAACTTTGAAATGTTATCTATACCATAAAAACAAAGACCCGCCAAGTCGGACGGGTTATGATCTAGTTTGTATTAAAAATAACAAATTCACTATTATTCAAACATAAATTTTAAAATTTCGTTTAAAATCTACTGTTATTAAAATTGACATTTCATAAAATACTCTGAAATCCACTATTATTAAAGAAATTTTAAGTTATGGAGTTTTAAAGGTTACTAGATTTTTAACCGCGCTTAAAAAGCGCGGATACCATTTTTATTATTTTATCTAAAGATGGACCGATAATTTTTTTTTCTTTGATGATATAAAATGTTCTTGTCTTATATAAATTTCTAAAATTATTGTAGATTTTAATTTATTATGATCATCAATATCTATGTAAATGTATTATATGTAATTGTGTAATTTTATTTTGGAAAAGCAAATATCAATTAACTACGCTTGGTGCTGGGAAGCGGGTCAAACTCTTCCTACCCGACCCGCCTGGCCCGCAAAGAAAATCAATTATATCCGTATCCGTCCCACTTAATTGTGCGGATAATCTGCGGGACATGCAGATAATTATTAATAATAAAAATAACTATTTTTATTTTTTCTAAAAAATAATATTAAATAGTATATTTTTAAATTAATTTTTTTTGAAAAAAAAATAATTATTTAACGAAATTTTGTATATTTTTGAAAAAAAAATTTAAAAAATTCTTTCTATTTTTGCAGATTATCGGATACCCACAATTGAAATTAGAATAATCTGCATCCGTCCCGCGTAAAATATAATTGACCTGCACCCCCACCCGCATCCGCGACTTAGTTTTTCAAATATCGATTGACCCGTTTCGTGGCGGATCGAATGGGGCCGAACCAGCGTACTAATAATTTGAAAGGGAACTTGACCCATTAATAAAACCTAATAGTATATAGTTTTTTTTTAGGTTGAAAATAAAAATATCAAATTGCCATTAATAAAAAAATTAAATTTGTTCATAATATTAAGGGTATTTTTTAAAAACATAAAAATTTCATATTAAAGGGAGTGATCATATTTTAGGTATTGATAAGTGATTTTAGAGTGTTTGGATGGAATTCTTCAGTTAAAAAAAAAAATCTCAAATCTCATGGGTTTTAGGTGATATTTAGAGTGGTTTAACAAAAAAAATCACCTCAAACTCTCTAAGTCATTGAAATCATCTAGAAACTTCAATAATAATCAAATAACCTAAAAGTTTAGATTGAATACACCTCAAGTATTGAGTGCATTTTGATGGGCTTTAGCTCTTGCTCATGTTGTCGGCCTATCGCAAAAGACAAATGAGTTTTGTTTCCAGTAGCCGATCCGAACTCAGTTTGGGCTATTAAAAACCTTGTTTCGCCCATCTTTTGTTTGAGCTCGATCAACCACAATTCTGACTCGACTGGATTGTGTTGGATGAACAATTTGGTTTCCTTTGTCCAATTGAGCTCATTGCATCATTCTCCTTTTCCTTTTCACTTTTCGCCCAACCGGCTCCGTCTCCATCGCATAGCTCAGGTTTTGTCCTACTTCTCATCGTCTAGCTCCAACTAGCTCTAGCTCGTCCAATTTAAGCTTTTCCGGGTTGCCTTGCCTCTACTCTTTCCTATTCAACTAGTACGTAGTTATAATGGTTAATTGACACCAACATTCCTTTATCTTCAAAAGTGTTTTAAGGGTCAATATTTTTGAAATGTAGACCTTTTTAGACCCAATAAGACCATATTCTCCATTGTATGGCTTGGAAGAGTATTATTTTCCATTCGGATTCTGATTAATAAATAGCTAACTAAAAGAATGGAAACATGTCCATCTATATATTCAAGTATAAAATAATAACTCATGAATTTTCAGCATCTTACCAAGATCAGCTAATTGTATAAGATTTAACTACGACCCTTCTTTTCATATGGATTATTTGAATGTCACATGAACAAAACATAAATATGCAGCAACTTTAGGCAATCGGTATTTCAAAAGGCGCGGTGCTAATACTATGTAACAAATAAGCCACTTTTATAAACCAGACACTAATTAATAGATAATTCATAAGATTAGAATAACATAAGGTAAAGTCACAGTATAAAATTGAGAAAGCCTATTCATCAACATGTCACATGATGTAATTCTTTGGTCCATTTATTACAATATATTATGGAGTTGTGTACCGGTCACCAGAAAATTACGATGTGTTTGGTGTAGGGCAGAAAAAATCGATGTATCATATTTGTGTTATTCTTGTGCCCTCTGATTATACATTATTTACGATATATGTATTGTATATATTTTTTACTTACTGTTTTAGATGGTTTTACATATGAGAATTTATTGTTTTAGATGATTATACATGAGGATTTCAATGTAAAAAAAAAAAAGATACAGATCATCTTGTCCGTTGAAACATAAAACTAATTAATAAGTCCATTTGATACATACGAGCAAAAGAACAAATAAATAAAGAAGTCGAAGAACCACTTACCAGTATGAATATACTACATACCATTGAGGGAAGAGGCCTAATTACACAATCTCTCAAAATGAACTCGCCACCGTATCGGAACTGCTAGTCCACTTATCAGTATCTGGCGACACTGGTGGAGGAACACTATCCCTCAACAATCCAACGTCATCTTCTCCACTTCCCTCGATATCTACCACATCCGGTGGCGTCTCGCGAGTCTCCCCTTTGATCCCTTTCAAAATCTCCACGATCTCATCCATCGATGGCCTACCTTCCCTTTCCTTTTGCAAACATCGGAACGCAAGCTCAGCCACTGAAATCATCATCCTCTTCACTTCTGGATCCTTCGTGAATCCAAGACTCGGATCCACGAGCTCGTGCACCTCATTGTTCTGGATCTTGGAGACGGCCATGTTGGCTAAGTTGATATCGTGGCGATGTCTTGTGATATCGACAGCTTCTTTGGAAGAAATGAGTTCAGTTAGTACGACTCCGAAGCTGTAAACGTCACTCTTCTCGTTCAGACGGTAACATTGGTAATACTCCGGATCTACATATCCTGGAGTGCCTTGCGGTGCTGTGGAGACGTGAGTTTGGTCCATCGAAAACAGCCGTGAGAGTCCGAAATCAGCTACTTTCACCGTGGAGTTCTCGTCTAGAAGAATGTTTGTTGTCTTTACGTCCCTATGTATGATCCCTGCAACAGAACCAAATCAAATTATAGGAAACTCTACTATGTTTCCTCACATGTCGAGTACTAACTATCTACTTAATCGACTAAAGTATGAATAAATTTAGGAACATAATAAAAATATATATCGATAAATCATTACACTAATTTTGTATGAATTGAACTTTTATATATATATTTTGGCGCCTAAAATTTAATTAGCCTTAAGAAAAGTATTGCTTTACCTGATTTGTGGAGGAAGGATAAAGCACTTGCGGTTTCGATTGCTATGTTTAAACGAACTGGCCAACAAAGAGGACGGGCTTCAGCACGATCACCGTGAAGATGGTCGGCTAGAGTTCCGTTTGAGATATACTCATAGACGAGCAAAAGCTCTGTGCTATGTCTCGATGTGCATCCGTAGAGAATCACGAGGTTTTTATGTTTCAACGATTTCAATATGTCAATCTCGTTTTTGAACTGTTCAACGCGTTTTAGGGACCTCTCGTAAAGTCGTTTGACTGCTACCAATCGTCCATCTTTCAACACGCCTTTTAAGATATAATAAAAGATGTTTTATGAGAATGCTAATCCTTTGAAGTTAGAGTTAAAGACTAAGTGTTTCTTACCGTAGTAGACAGTACCAAAGCCGCCGTCGCCAAGCTCTCTAGAGAAATTCTCAGTGGCTTCCTCGAGTTCTTCGTAGGTGAAAACTTGGACTCCAAAGTAGGTGCTTGCGTTTGTGATGTAAGACATTGAAGGTAGTAGAGAATGGTTGCTGCTACTTGAGATTGTTGTGGAAGTTGGATAGCTTGATGTTACTCTGCTTGAAGATGACGTTATTGGCAAGCCTTTGCTCGTGTGTAGAGCTGCATGTGTCTTCTTTCGCCGGCTGATGAGAAAGAACAAACCTACGGCTATAAGAATTGCCACCAGCAATACACAAGCAACCACAATGCCTAGAGACAAAAAAAAAATCATAATAAGAAGACTATAGTGTTGCTTATGGTAATCAAATTAGGTGTCAAAAGAACAGAAAAAAGGTATGCACCTGCTATTGCTCCAGAAGAGATGCCTGCATCTTCAGAATAACACCAGGGAAAAGTCAGTAAGTGAAACATTAAATCTTACAAGTTAATAAATACTAAAAATTTGAAACATGAAAAGGGAATTTCTGTATATAGTTATCTGAAACTAAAGGATCTATTTTGGGAAAGGACAAGTGGTGTTTTTTTGTGGAAGAACATAAAGAAAATTATAACTTTTAAGCCAGAAATCTTACCCTTTTCTTTAGAATAGCAAACAAATCCACCAGAACTCTGACTAAATCCACAGGCACCATCAGAAGCTAAGCACGTCGAACATTCTTGGCCAAGTCCAAGCTGAAAACCCTCTGCAAGAGCTCTCTGCAGATTTTCTTGAGTCCGATTGTTCTGCAGTGCGTCCAGCCAAGGCCCAGATACACGAATACTTACGCTTTTGCAAGATGACTCGAACTCATTTAATTGACCTCTAATACCGTCAAGTAGCGGGGACGAGAAGTTTCTAGTTACATAGTAACGTATTCTGTCATCATCATCATCATCTTCACAAGCAAGATCTCCAACATAAGTAGAAACATAAAGTGGAAATGCTCTGTTGCAGTCGTGATAGATTGTTAGAAACTCAGTGTTAGGAGCAAGTGGAAGAACGCTTTCATCAATTGTTGCGTTTAAGAGATCTTTAGGACAAAGACCACCGATAAAATCCGATCTTGCAAGTCTTATGATACGAGAGTCATAGTTTGCCTCTAAGATTCTATACTTCACGGAGGTTATACTAAGCTCTGCGAATCCACTGGTACAGTTGACTTCAAACTCAGGGTGGCCACAGTCTTCTCTGCCAAGTTTCCAGAAAGGGTATCGGAGACCGTTTTGATTGCCGCAGCTAAACGGTTTACTGCAGACCTCATTAGATGAGAAAACATAAGAAGGTGTCACAAAGAGAATCCATATGATTAAATAGAACATGGATTTGGTTAAGGATATAAACATATCGATCATTGTGTTGAGAGGCAAAGAGAAAAAATGGTTGAAGAAGATATGAAAGAATTGGTGAATGTCTTGGGTTTTGTAAGAGTTGAATTAAACGAACCTATTTTTGGTTTATTTGACCAACCTGCTTTTTTTAATATATATTAATGTTACTTTCTTGAGGTTAATATTTTTCAAATCGAAGGTTCTTTTGGAATTAGGTGACTTACAAGTTACAACGAAGACTTTTGAATGCATGTTTGATAAAACGATGGAAAGAAACAGTGATTTAAACGAGTTTTTCTCTTTGTTGTTTATAGAATATAACACGGTTCCCATCTGGGACTATAAAAAGTTGGATTTTTTTTTGATATATTATTATTTTCCTGTACGACGTATTCAAAATGAGGTGCTTAGAATTTTCTCAGAAAAGGACCTAATGAAACAAATAATCCAAATATATGTTCTGTTTTTTTACGAAATTTGACTAGTACAAAGTCTCTTTCCGTCATTGTTGTTATTCATAATTCTAACTTTAGATTCGGATCTAACTATTTAATATCCGAACAGATCCGAAATCGTCAAATTCTAATTATTTTATTGGGTCTAACTATTTAAGAGCCAAACCAAGAAAATTTAATTATCCTATTGGATCTAACTAAGATCCAGACAAAACAAGACTGACTTGACCTGAACCTGAGACCCGAATCCCAAATGTCCAGGCCTAATCTAGGGGTGGGCGTTCGGGTACCCGTTCGTGTTCGGATCGGGTATTTCGGGTTTTCGGGTATTTCGGTATTGGGATATAGAATCCGTTCGGGTATTTTTACATATCGGGTCGGATTCGGATATTTTTAGTTCGGGTTCGGTTATTTCGGGTCGGGTTCAGATATTTAGATTTTGAAAGAAAATTTCAAATTCTTTATTACTTAAGTTTCATGTATTTAAAATTTAACTATTAACTTAATTGTTTTTAAAATGTTTAATAAGTTAGACGATTAATAATTTTGAAAATAAAATTATTGAAAATAAAATTCATTATTTTGGTTGTTATTTTTGAATTTTGGATGCAAATTTTGTTTAAAATAGGAAATAAGAAGCTTAATATGCATTTTAAATGAGTAAATTTTTTTTTTTTTACAATTATATGTATATTATCTGATCTTAAATTATATATAACATTAATATAAATATTTTTAATAAAATGAGACAAATAAACTAGGAATAAATAGGTATATATACATATGTTCGGTTATCTTCGGATACCCGTTCGGGTTCGGATAATACCCGTTCGGCCCTAATCTATGAATCTCAGAGAAATGGTGTGTAGAATAAGGCAAAAGGACCATTTACTACGGAAACTGACTGATGTAGAAGAAGAAAACACAATAAATGAAAGAGTGACTAACTGATCAGTTAATGCCAAATTTCAAGGACTTAAAAACGTGTGGTCTATTGGTTTGGAGTGGATAAAGGACTCGTCACGTTGGTGAGTCCGAATGATCAACCATCTATGAAAAATCGTTGTGGTTTCCTTCTTGGCCTTTAATGCAAAAAATTGCCTTCGAAGAGGTAATACAGAAAGGAAAAACTCGAAACAGAACATAACATATTTTCACTTAAATAAGGTTTATGGTTTTGAGAAGGGTAGAAAAAGGGTCTATAAAATGAGAAAATAACTTGTAAAAAATCTTAGATTTTGAAGTTCATCAAGAGAAGTGAATTGGATTAAATCAACAACTTTCTCTCTATCATCCGCACTTTCACATAACTTGAGTTTTCCCTCTTTTGGAAGTCTCGTATACGCTATTAGCCTATTACGTCAATGGCAAGCCAATAAGGTATTTTGATCTTACTTAGTAAACCCACATCGCATGAAATTGAACAACTAGTACTTCTTTTTGATCTTCACTTTAGGTGCCTTTCGCATGAAGACTAGTTACGTTCACGTTATTTAATGATACATCAACACATACATTTTGCGTTATGCAAAGCAGTGTGAACTCCTACCCAATAAATACCCAAACAAGACCTCAAATGTTCCTTAAAAAATATATAACATACAGTCAAAATTATTCAAACAAATTATCATATAAAACTAACTAACTAATTAGACATGAAGATATTGGCATTGACACTCATGGTGTTCGTCGTTCTTTCGACATCATTTGCGGCTCCAAATAAAGTGGGAGACACTGCTGTGGGAGCGGCATGTGACGCAAAGCAGCTTCAGCCTTGCCTGGCAGCGATTACAGGAGGAGGCCAACCCTCTGGTGATTGTTGTGCAAAGCTGAAGGAGCAACAGTCATGCTTGTGTGGGTTTGCTAAGATCCCTTCGTTTGCTCAGTACGTTAACTCTCCCAACGCTCGCAAAGTCCTATCCGCTTGTGGTGTTCCTTATCCAAGTTGCTAAAAACCTAGAGATGTTATAATTAACTAAATAAATAAATAAATCACGAGTAAGGAAGATAAATAACATTTTATCAAACTATGTTGTCCAAAAAAAAATCAAACTATGTTTATGAAACAATGTAACCGTGTGGATTAATGTAATGGTTTATACGGTTAATTAAAGAAGTTTCGTATTTATTTTGTAGCTTTCTCCCGTAAACTAAAAACCAAATGCCAAAATCTCGATTTGATTTTAACTGTTCAAATTAGTAAAAGACAATTTTGGAGAGTAAGTTAAAGTGGCAACAATATGGTAGGAGCAGAGAAAAAGTTTGATAGAATAAAATAGAATAACTTGTCCAATACACTTGCACATCCAAAAATAACTCTCAAGTTATATAGCTAGACTAGAGTAGCTGTAAATAATCCAGTGACTTTGTAAACAAAAACAATATCAAGAGAAAAAAAAACAAAGGCAGCTTAAGAAATCACCAGTTGAATTAACTCTATGGTCCGGTTACAGAATCTATTAAAATGGTTCTTAACAAAGATTATCATCTACTCATAATTGATGCAAAACCAAAATAAGATCGTTATGATATTTTTATTACCTGACAACATCTCTCCAGCTGAGCGATAGTGAAGAGTCTCTGCATATCCACCTTCAACCTTTACTGTTATTACTGAAAAACTAATCTGCCAAAAAAAAAATTCAGTGATCTATATCAAAAACAATCCTGAATATCAATTCTAAGATAGTATTTTGTTCAGTTCATAGTTAAGGCTTACCCGCATTGGCTTCCTGCTTGTATCTGTCTGAATAGTTAGAGATATTCTTATGTATCTCGCTGTTTGGTTGCAAGCAGTTTCTTGAATAGTAATCTTCCCAGTATAATCTACAAAACAGAAACAATCTCTTATTTTATATACATAACACATTTTTTATAAAGTTTGTCACATACTTACCATTCTCATTCCCTTCCTGCTTTCCCTTTTCTCTACAATGTTGTCTCCACATTCAGTCTCGTCCTTAATGCATACCTCGTCTGTTTTGTTGTTACCCTCCACCTCTGCATCACTGCCTCCACATTTTTCACTCTGTTCAATCTCATGCTCATTCAAAACTTGGACTGGCTTGTTAGTTTTCTCTATATCTACTACATCACTGCCTCCAAATTCTTCACCTAGTTCAGTCTTAACACATTCATCACTAACCATATCATCTTCTTCGGCTTTACAAACATGCGGAAGAGGATCAGCAAGTCCGTTCTCAACGACTCGTATACCCCATCCTGTTAATCTGAACGTAGAGTCTTCTTGCCAACCGCTTATTTGAATCTCCATATCCACGTGTTGAGCAACAAGAGCATTCTCTGTCTTCAGAGGGACACAACAGTCGAATATAAACAACCGACTATCCTTCTCAAGTGTGTGAAAGCTATATGCCTCACTAGAGGAATCAAACATGCTCCCACACATGTCTCTGAACCGACATTTTACACGGATATTTAATCCATTGGGACCAGTTTTAGACAGAGAGTCGAAAACAACCACTGCACAAACCTTAAATCTGAAAAATGTTTGCGTGAGAGAAGTGTCAAGTAGAGGGATGGTCAGAGATGATGAAGAAGATTCAGTACTATGGTGAGTGAAATATAAAGGCACTGCTTCACCTAGAAACGTCATGGACTTGAAGCCGACTGATAGTTGTTGAAACAGAACATCTTGATTAAACTTGAAGTGGTTTATGAAACCGACTTTTGGAATATACTTATCTGGAAGCAATGAGGAAGACTCCTCCGAAACTGTGTCAATATTATATGCTTCCATACGTAATGTTCGTCCAGTCAATGCCTCACAGTGTGAAAAGTTAACATCAAGACGTGGCAGTTTAGAAATGTTTGGGTGTACATATTCCAACTTACTGCAACTTTCCATATCTAGGTTTCTGAGCTTAGAGAAGATCTCCACCCACCAAGGAACCTCTTCTATCGCTGTGTAGCTTAGATTTAGATCTGAGATGTTGGTTGAGATATTAGGAAAAGTCATCAGCCTTGAGCACTTAGTGAGGTTGAGGGTCTTGAGAGATTTGAGGTTGATGCCTGTGGGAAGAGTTTCAAGATTCATGCATCTAGTAATCTTCAAATCTCTTAGTTTATTGAGATTCCGAAATGAGGAAGGAAGCTCCACTAAACTTGGGATATTGAAGAGATACAACTCCGTTAAAGTGGGAGACAACATAGGCTTGAAGAGTGTAAGCAGCTGAATCAAGTAAACAAATTAGACATGTTAAGCAAAATCATCTACAATGAATCTTGCAATAATATTCAATATAGTATTGGAAAATATTTGAAGTGGTTTGATTTTTGATGAGGTTTTAGATGATTATGGATGAATTATGAAAGTTATTGTGACTTTAGTTAAAACATTTCAGAATCGTAATTAAATCAAAATGTTCAATTTTATATTCTTTACTAAAACTTTATTGGTAGATAAATCCTTAAAAAAATTGAAATTAAAATTTTATTGTTATTGGTTCATAGCTTTTAAAATATTTACTAATTAATTAATAAATTCCACCAAAACAAATTTAAATTACACCAATCTCATAAAACACAGTATTCAAATATTTCAAAATCTGACTATTTTAAATATTTCTTCCGTTTCATTTTAGTTGTCATTCTAGGTTTTTGCATACAAATTAAGGATACGTTTAATTTTATATATTTTCAAGATAAAAATACGATTACCTATACATCTAACCACTTTTCAACCAATAGAAAAATATAATATCATATAAAGCTAATAAATTTTGCCTCGAAATTCTAAAACGACACTTATTTTGAAAAAAAAATTTCTAAAATGACAACTAATTCGAAACGGAGGAATTACATGATATAAGAATACACATTTATGCTAAATGCGGTTAAACGTCCTATAATTTGTATTTTGAAATTATCATGTTTTACATTAAAAAAAAAATCACTTTTGTCGAAAATGTGACTCTTATAATGATCAAACAGTAAAGTAAATTCATAAATTTCATATTTGTTTTGCTAGAAATTGAAGAATATATAAGAAAATATCTATAAGCCAGACCACAAGAATTATATTATTTAAATTAAAATGTAAAATTTTGGGGGTTTCGGGGTAGTCCTTGTCCGAACCGGACTTAAATCCAAAACGTTTGAAGTCCAAATGGACTAAACTTGATATTCCCAAAATAATTTATATATTTTGACGTGAACTGCTTCGACCCTAATTGACATATCTCTAGTCACAAATTATTGTGAAATTTATAAAATTAATCTTAAAAAGAATTTTTAAAAAAGTAGTAAGTAATAAAAATGGTAATTTCTCAAATGGAAACTGCTTTTGAGTCAGAACTACATACCTGCACCTTTTTCCATGGTTTCCCTTGTTTCTTTACCGTTACTTTTGACATGTGAAGCTTAACAAGATTCTCGAGATGCAAAATAAGTGGGGAACTCTACCACTGATGTTTCCTCAAGAAAGAGAAATGAAATGTTGGTTGAGATTTTGGGAAAAGTCTTCAACTGTGAGCAGAAACTGAGATTGAGGTGGTCGAGAGCTTTTGAAGATGCAAGTGGAGCTTGTAGATGTCAATGGTCTTCCGTGACTAACAAGGCGACGAAGTCACTGATGCTGGAGGCATTAGTCGTTACTACATAAGGCATGCGGAGTGGTGGGTTACCATGTGGATGCAGGATATGCTGAGATGGAGAAGAATAAACTAGAGGTTTATGTCTTGACGTAGTCGTTGAAGTAGTTGCNATTATAGAGGAAGGGTGAAAATCCCTTAGGGTGTTCTTGGGTCGTGCCGAAGCAGTTGCTGAGGTACTGACGATGGAGAGACAAGTTTGGGTAGATTATGAATCTTTCAGTAACAGCTGTTAGGGTGTTAACAGGCTGTGTAAAGCTGATAAGCAAGTCTTGTAATAGATTGTTTAAAGAAGATTTCTAATAAAGCAAAGGTGTTGCTTGTATCTATTTTGTCTCTTGATTTATCTTCTGCAGTACTTAATTGTGGTGTCATCTTTGCACTTACAATTGGTATCAGAGCGGGTCACCTAAGTTACTGGTGTGATCCTGAAGGTGAAGATGTACACGGTTGTTTGCAGAAGACAATCTTGTTGGTTGATGGCTAGTTTGGTCATGAGAAGGCGCTCATGAAGTTGTTGGTTCGAGGAGTCAATGAGGGTGCGTGGATAGCTGTGAAGACTGCATGGGAGGAGCCTACGGTGGTCACAGCAGAGGGGAAGAAGTCCAATCGAAGGAGCCAAGACAAGGCAAGGAGCTGTTCGAGAAGTAGTTCGGCGGATGCGTCAGAGGCTGATGCAGTACTCATGAAGGAGCAGGCGGTGTGTCTGTGAAAGAAGGCTTGACATCTAAGCATCTATGTTTTAGCTTAGTATGCAATCAAGCAGGGGGAGAAGTGATGACGTTCTGGTCCAAGGAGTGCATATCTCGTGGGGGAGAAGAGCATGGTGATGGACGTTCTGATGTAGATGGTGCATATCTCGTGCGGGAGAAGAGCATATCTATGTGTGAAGATGAAGATAGTGCAAGTCTCGAGTGTGGAAGTTTCCAGGTGAGGAAACGTGGTTGTTGAACCAGAAGAGTATTGTGCTTGATTGGCACACAAAGCTAAAAGGGGGAGATTGAAGATGCAAGTGGAGCTTGTAGATGTCAATGGTCTTCCGTGACTAACAAGGCGACGAAGTCACTGATGCTGGAGGCATTAGTCGTTACTACATAAGGCATGCGGAGNTTGAAGATGCAAGTGGAGCTTGTAGATGTCAATGGTCTTCCGTGACTAACAAGGCGACGAAGTCACTGATGCTGGAGGCATTAGTCGTTACTACATAAGGCATGCGGAGTGGTGGGTTACCATGTGGATGCAGGATATGCTGAGATGGAGAAGAATAAACTAGAGGTTTATGTCTTGACGTAGTCGTTGAAGTAGTTGCTGATGCAGCGTGTGTCAGAGAGTGAACCAGGAGGCATGCGGAGTGGTAGAAACCATGTGGATGCAAGATGCTGAGCTGGCGTGGGATAAACTTGAGGAGCAAGTTTATACCGTGGAGAAAAGGCAAGAGATAAACTTGAGGAGCAAGTTTATGCCTTGAGGAATAAGTACAAATCCAAGAAAAGGAAAGTGTACTTATTAATATGGAAGTTGTCCATATATCCATGTTGCCTTGGAGACTAGGGTTTCAG